TCATTGTCGGAGAACATTTCCCGCTATATAGATGATCTTTCTCACTAAACAATTCAAAATTTGGTAAATATGTTGAACGCATCTATTCCATCGAACTTGAGATAAAGGATTCAACAGATACAATTAAGTCTGCCTCATATCTTGACTTACATCTAGAAATTGACAATGATGGTCGGCTGAAAACAACACTTTACGACGAAAGAGATGATTTCAGCTTCCAAATTGTGAACTTTTCATTTTTCACATAAATTTTACGGACGCCATCACCAGTTGGTTGACCGTTATGGAATATCTGTTTCGCAGATTACCACGGGTATGTTCCAATTGACGTAAATACAATCCCGACCCCTTTTCAAAGAATGTGAACAACCGATTTAGCCTGATACTTTTTGGAGGGGTTCGTGTTGTTCAGTTTTTTGTTTTCTATGTTGAGTTTTGTGTTCTGTTGTTTGACTGTTTGTCTTTTTCTTTTTTAGCCATGGCGTTTTCAGTTTATTTTTGACTTATGATTTTGAATGTCCCTTTGGTATCCTTCGCCGCTCTATTGTTTGTATGAGCATCATAAGCCAGAAACAAATTAAGCATCACTGATCTATAATTATTCTACCGCTTTTAACGAAGTACAAATTAATATGTTTAATTTTCCGACAAAAACTGAAGAAAGTCAGGGTAACTTGAATAATATCGTTGGCTTATAACTGAAGAAAATCAAGGTATATTGAATATGACCGTTCGTTCATAACTGATAAAAATCAGGGTAACTTGAATGTTACCGTTCACTCATAACTGAAAGAAATCCGATACATGTACACATTTTTTGTTATAAATTCGGACGTGTATAATTTTCATAAAATTTTCTAAGAGTTTAAATTCCGCGAAAAGAATTTGAATTTAAAATGAAAAATAATCTTAATATGTAACAAGTGCATAAAATACGATGTTTTAGTCGTACACGAAATCGCTTTTAAAGGCATCAAAATGCCAAATACTTATTAAACAAATAAACCTTTTTTTCAATGTTAACATGATGTTCAGGTTACTTTCGTTTGACAAGAAGTAAAATATTAAAGACCGAAGTTTTCTACCAAATATTGTTAATTTTCCGTTTTAAAGTTTACATTCTTCTGAGATAAACATTTTCTTTAAAATAGCTAAATTCACAGAATTGTATTATCAGTTTTAAATTTACATACATGTTGGATTTTATAGATTTAGTGGTATCCATGAAACATAACGTTTTATCCTATTGTTTACGAAACTTAGCTATATTTCCATTTTTAAGAAGAGATTGCTACATTTTAACATTTTCAAACTTAAAATTTGAACTAAATAAAAGCATGGAAATTTGTCAAATGTACATTCCATCCCAGAATATCATCAGATATAAGAAATAGAGTTAAAAAATGTATTAAACTACTAAAGGCTTTATAAAAAAAAACTTGAAAAATTCAAGAATGTAAAAGGGCAAAGTCCTATAGTAACCTCTTAAGTTCTGGTTGGTGTGCATCAGGCATGGGGTAATGCAAATTTGTAACTGTAATGTAACTGCATTACATTTTTCCAAGTAATTGCATGTATAGTATAATGCAGCAATTTTTGCATAAAATGTAATTGTAATTTAATGCATTACATTGCATTACATTGGCATTCCTTTTTTCACATACTATTTATCTTAAACAGATTGTTACAGATTTATTGAAACAGATTTTAAGATTTCTTGATTAACTAAGAACATTATCATTTGCGTATTTACTTTGAATTTATATTTACATTTAAATATTTAATTTTCACGGTTTATATAAATCCCTTTTATTTGGGAATTTGAAGATTAAGCCTTGCCTGAAATAGAACTTGAAAAAAAAGTTGTATAAATACTAGAATGACCAAATAATAATTTTAAATGAATAATACAACACTGTATATCAGATTGAGTTTCTTGTTTTTTCAATTTCATTTTATTTCTAACATTTTTCCGATATTCGAAAAGTTTTATTGTAAAAGTGTTCCATAGTTGTCAAAAGATCAAATGATATCTGTTATAATTAACATGATTAAATAACAGATAATTGAATATTGTCACAAAACACTAATTAGTTTATTTTACAATTAATCTTTTTTAACCATTTTGACTCTTGTTTATAAATTAAGCTCTATGTTTATTATATAATTAGACTAATTTAGGAAAGAAATTCTGAGTAAATGTATTGATTGAAATTAAAAAAAAGCACACAATTGGATATATCTATAAAAGTAAAATTAGCATTAAGTTATAGTAAGTATAAAAATTCATCTCTGTAATTTGTTTTTAGAGAAAACACAGATAGTAAACCTTGTAACATTAAAACCAAAGATAGAGAGCAATCAACTATGATAGGTTTAGTGAAACAGTCGGATAGTCAAAAATATCATTCATCATGAAACCTTTAAAACCCTTATGATGTTAAAATTCAATAGTGATATTGAAAAGACTTTTAACATACTTAAATTCAATACATGGAACACAGTTACTGCATATGCTAGAATCTTTTGTCACTTCATGTTGTTTTTCAAAATGTTCGATTTTTGTTTTCACTTGATAAAAAAAATTAACAAATGTAATGTGTAATTCAATGCATTACTTTGCAAAAGTAATTGTAATTTACTGCATTACTTTGATAAACGCATGTAATTGTAATTGTAATTTAATGCAGGGTTTTGTCAAAGTAATTGTAATATAATGCATTATATTTCAATGTTATTCGCCCCGTGCCTGGTGTGCATCATATATCAAACTCCCTTTAGATTTTGAGAATTGGGAGATAATTGGGAACCAATTTTGACCCTCTTCTTGCCGACTTCTTTCTTTATTATTATGAGGCTGACTTCATACAGGAACTTCTTAGGAAGAAAGATAAGAAGCTAGCAATATCCTTTAACTTTACGTTTCGCTATATAGATGATGTTATCTCACTTAATAATACAAAATTTGGTGATTATTTGGAACGAATCTATCCCATCGAACTAGAGATAAAGGATGCTACAGATACAGTTAAGTCTGCCACATATCTTGACTTACATCTAGAAATTGCCAAAGAGGGTCGGTTGAAAACACAACTTTACAACAAAAGAGATGATTTCAGCTTCCCAATTGTGAACTTTCCATTTCTATGTAGCAACATTCCAGCAGCGCCTGTATACGGATTATATATCTCCCAATTGATACGATATTCCCAGGCTTGTATTTCCTATCATGATTTCCTTGATAGAGTATTGCTGCTCACAAGGAAGCTATTAAACCAAGAGTTCCAAATGGTGAAGTTGAAATCTTCCCTTCGTAAATTTTACGGACACCATCACGATTTGGTTGACCGCTATGGAATAACCGTTTCACAGATGATATCGGATATGTTCCTTATGTCGTAACCACACACTACCCTTCCCTTTTCACGAATTTGACCTACCGAATTAGACTATTTACTGGATTTTTAATAACATATTAAGCAACACGACGGGTGCCACATGTTGAGCAGGATCTGCTTACCCTTCCCGAACACCTGAGATCACCCCCAGTTTTTGGTGGGGTTCGTGTTGCTTAGTCTCTAGTTTTCTATGTTGTGTCATCTGTACTATTATTTGTCTGCTGGTCTTTTTATTTTTGGCCATGGCGTTATCAGTTTGTTTTTGATCTATGAGTTTGACTGTCCCTCTGGTATCTTTCGTCCCTCTTTTCGATCAGCAGGTGTATTATGATAATGCTTCACATTTCGCACAACTTAAAAACTTTTCAGGATCCAAGGTGTCCTGTTTCGAGTCAACATGTGTTATCCTTCTCGCTAATTTACCCAATCTATTCAGTAGTCCTTGTTGAACAATTTTGCCGACAATATCTAATATGTATGAAATATTTGACACTATTTTACATATAAAGTTATCTTTTATTGTACTATTTCGCATTTTCGCCTTTGAGCGTGTCCACCTTCGAGTTTTCGATGAATGGAATATCAAACGTGATCACTTGTTTTATTTAGTCCCTTTAAAAAAAAAACGCTTTGCTGAATTTAACATTATTAGCGACTTTTCGGCTGTTGTTAGTTGGTAATTTATGACAATTATTTGACATAACGGAATATTTATTTCCCATTTGAGTATTTTAAATATTTGAAATTCATTATATTTGAAGGTAAGAGTTAACAATATGCACATAAATTGCTTCCTTGAGTACCAGCATAAGTGGTTGTTATGTGTTATATATTAATAGGTTTTAGTTTTTGTAAATTTGGTGATGATGTCTGATATTTATATGGCTATGATTTATTTAGCTGAAGACACGGGCGATTAGAATTGAACACATTTCACAGATACCTTTCGTTTTTTTAATAGTGTATATGCCCTCTTCATGTCTTTAATAATAAAATATTTTTATTCATATTGTAGTAAAGTTAAATCAATATTACACATAAAACTATTTTTGTTACCATTATTTTATGCACTCGAGTAACATGATTAAGTAAGAGATTTGTTTTTCGCTCAGCTTGTTTTTTTCCCTGATCACCCGTTTGTTATGACTTAAGCATGTTAAGGTAGATATCTTAAAACATTTTTGTAAAGACAATTAAACGCAGAATTTATCACAAATGTCAATTTCGTATTCAATGTGTACCCCCATGTTCTAGCATAAGTTTAAGTGCATATTAAAAAGAATTAAAAGATTTAAAACCACCAGCCTTTTTTTTATCAACATCACATGTTGTGTCATCTGTACTATTATTTGTCTGTTTGTCTTTTTATTTTTGGCCATGGCGTTGTCAGTTTGTTTTCGATCTATGAGTTTGATTGTCCCTCTGGTATCTTTCGTCCCTCTTTTAATGTTATAGGCAAACAATATTTGTTCCGTTTATTTTCTTAAATATGTATTTTCTAATCTATTTCAAGGACTTGTTAGTGTGACGTTTATTGATAAAATATGACTGTGTATAATGATAAAACTACATGTAAATGATGAATTTCCTACACTATTTCCGAAGTATGTTGTACACATGTTATAGATTATGAAGAAAATTTATGGTGTCATAAATAGATATATCAAGTTTAAAAGATAACGCATGCAGAAAAGTAAGTGTTTTAAGACATTTGTAGCAAAGAAAAACATAAAAAAAAGAAATAAAGAAAATCAACACGATCAACTAACAGCAATAACAAAAACAACAAAAAGTAATGGTTCTTGCTTAGTTATACAAAATAAGGATTTTATCGTAGCACATTGAGAATTTATCAATAAATTTAGACTCCATTTTACGCTATCAAAAATATATAACATTTTACTTGCTGACTAAGGTAACAGAACCTACTGTCTTAAAGCAATTGTACCTGCATTTAGCATCTGGGTTTATGTACAATTTTAAACGACCTTTACACTGGTCAAATTTGTGAATATCGGTTTTATTGATCTATGTGTCTCGGTATATCCCGAAGAACCATCGATAATGCAATACCAACCTTTCTATATTTGAAATGTAATATGAAAATTCTCGTTCCAAGTTGCTGTATTTATTATTTTACAACTTTATAAATCATATGTGCAGTTCCTTTCATATCTTCTGAAAATATTGTTGAATCCGTTGACCGACATTAAATAGAACAATACTGTGTTAAACATGAATAGGGTCATTTTATTGACTCACTGGTTTCAATCGAAAATAGAGTTTGAACCATTAACTTGACAAATTTTCACCATAAGCATTTTAGATTAAGAGAATTTTCGTGAAAGTTTAAAAGTTGATGATAACATTTGATATTGATACAGATTAAATCACATTTACATCTTGTTTCTTTTGCAACTCGATAAAATTGTCTCATTGGAAGATGGTAGATTTATAAAGGGACTTCTATCTTAGGATTTTATATACTAAACGTAGGTTCCTTTTCGAAGCATGTAATATGTTTTTCATCAATCAATACATTTTGTGCCATTCATTTACGGAATACAAGTAATGCTGTGCCATGTTTGAAGAGTTATCACCGTCAATGTGGTCTTAAATAGTTTGTTACAGTCATTTCACTTGAAATTTTATATCCATTTTACTTGAAATATTATTCTTCTATCCTTCCTCGCCACCTGATTATTTATAAATTATTTCTTTTAATTTGTCTCTACCATTGCAGTCGTATACTCGGTGATGTGTAGTTTCTTGTAAGTAGCTATTCTTTTTTCATTTTTTTTTTTCAGAACTGTTGAGGTCATGCATATATCAAGAGTTGTATTTCTCCTCTACTGCTTAGTGATGTCGGCTAGCGGATGTGATGAATGGGCTAAACAAAACCCCTGTATGTGTACATGTGATGATGGCAACAATGAATGTATAGAAAGATGTAAAGTTATAGCAGCAAAAAATGAAAAGATCCGTTGCTCTGAACAGTGTTTTATGATTGCCAAAACCTGCTGGAATTCATGTGCTAGTGAAATGAAATCTGACTTGTAAAATGTAATAAACTTATCACCTAAAATTCAACAAACTTTTGAATTTGATTTGGTTTGCTTCAATAATACCGTAATAATTTTACTGAACCAAATGTGCAATTCGGCAAATAATTATCTCCTGTGTGATGTTCGAGGCTTAAATATTTGAAAACCAAAACTATATTAATAAATCTAAATACAATGTGATTGTTTCCAAATATTTAACAGCAAATACCAGTCGAATAATATCTGTATTGTCATTCCAGTATTGAAATATCAGCAACTGTGCAGTGATACTCTCGGGGACTAACAATCCATCAGCAGAGGTATCGGCTCAGTTGTAGTAATAACATTGTCGGTACTAATTTTATAGAACCTTTCGGATTTTCGAAAAGTTTGGCATTTAACATCACTGAAGAAACATTTATTCTTCAGTGATGTTCAATGCCAAACTTTTCGAAAATCCGAAACCTTAACAAACGTTGTAGTGCTTATCAAACCAAAAGATTTCTAAAAGAGCGAGATTGATATCCTTGATACGATAAGAACATGGCAAGCAAAAACAGAGCCATAATTGAAAGAAAGCCTGGCAACACAATAACAGACAAAACTGAGAAACTAATGTATTCGTCATTATTAACATATTTGACAGTAAGGACTATTCTATATTAAAGTACCTGTTTATGAGAGCAGACGTTAATGATACTTTTACCTAAATCGTGTTTCATGTAGACAAATGATAGACTCAACTCAACATCTGTGTATGAAACACCTTATTAGAAATTTATGGGTGAAGCTGTTGCTCAAATTTTAAATGCGCATAGGAAAACCTAAAAATAAAAAAATCATTAAGGGGTAAATTTGTAGTTGTTCCATAATTTTGAATACAAAGGACACATGCAATTTCAAGACAATTTCAAAAGTAATTACTGCTATCTTACAATCCACCATTTTCTACATAACAAAATGCCTGTACCAAGTCAGGAATATGACAGTTGTTATCCATTCGTTTGATGTGTTTGAGCTTTTGATGTTGCCATTTGATTAGGGACTTTCCTTTTTTAATTTTCCTCGGAGTTCAGTATTTTTGTGATTTTACTTTTGACATCCAAACCATTTTTTCACATGTAAAAATACATGAATCTACTTTATCGCACCTTATTTTTCTTTGCTACATTGAGCCATTCTTCCAATTATCATTATTATAGAATCTGACATAAACACATACAAAGGAACTATAAAAGTTACTTCTTTTTTTTCATGGATGATTTATATAATCGTCAATAAAGGTAAATCTATAGGTGAAAAATGCCTTTAGGATACGCATTTCTGGGAATACGCCTGAATAAATAACATACGTGATCTTTCAAATAAAGTTACCTTGGCAAGTCACCAGAGCAGCTTAATATCGTGTAAATGGTTTTACAAATGCACTTACATGTTAATATAAAACTCATCAGAGAAACCAAGCTTATAATTTGGTGCGCAAGAAAGCGTTTTGACTGCACCGGACTCAAATCTGTTAAAAGGGCAAATAAAAAAGTAAAAAGTTAAACCAGAAAATTACGAAAATTACGTATGACTATTATGTAGTTCTACCCGGGACATGATCAAGACAATTTTCGCAAGCACTGGCTCTTTCTATTGATTTATGTTTTTTTTCTGAAAGTATAAATAATATTGTTGCTTTCAACGTCGAATATGTCAACACGAACAATATAAGTGTATTTTCTTAAAAGGTGTGTATTAAACGTTTCTTTATTACCTTTATCGCATACATGATTAGATAATAGCTTAAGTCGGGAAAAGTTCTATTAACTTTAAATGACCTGTCTGGCAATTTATATGTGCATGTAACACAAAGATTACAAGGTAATTTTCATTTTGTGTAAGTTTTCAAAGATGTAGAACTGAAATGTCAATAAAAGTAAATGTGAGTAGACGTAAGTGAAATAAGACGACAGTAGTTAACTCATGTTTATTTTTTTAATCGATTAGGAGAGGGAAATCAAGTTAACAAAAAAAACTGTAGGAATCGCATAAACAATAAAAAGAACAAGACCGGGTGCGTCGACATAGTACGTTTAGTCAAAAGTCACTATTGGGAATAGAACTCAATCAGTAAAATAACAAATTAAACGACTTATCTTGTATCTAAATATATAGCTCTGGTTTCTGGTTTGAGTTTGGTTCTACGTTTGGTTTATATTTGTGTTATCAGCTCTACAGTTGTGAATTATGTTTTGGATTTTAACATGTTTAAGATATTTTGGCTTCGAGCCTCAGTGACAAAGCGTTGAATGTCGAATTGAGCATCAGCTACAGTAAGATAGGGGTACTGTTAATGTTATCAATAAAACTGCGAAAACATGCGTAACAAAGAAATGTTGTTTAAAATCTGATACAGATCTAATACATATTGTTTAAAATGAGTCTGGTAGATAATGAAATATACTTTGTCAAATGAGGAACCTATCTAAAGAACATTTCGCAATCTTTTTCACATTTCAAGGAAATGGAGGCTATTTTGAAGTTAGGAATCATGTGCATATTAGTAATATTATTGTCCAAAAGTGGTAAGTTTATACAACTATTCTGTTAAACGTTAATCCTACTTTCACAAGAATTCTTAAACTTGTAAATTACTATGTTGTAAGTTCACGTTGAAACCTTCCACACAGTAACCAACTGTATTTCGGTATAAACATGATTACAATTGAAGATAAATGTGGGCCATGATAAAGAGGAGCGTCCGTATATCTGTGCGGGATTATAAATACGTAGCCACTTCCTGTTCCATAAAGAGTACTTGCAACAACTATTGGTGTGGTTTATGTGCCCCTGTTTAATTTCCTTATGTTTCAGAATATGTATGAAATATTTGCAACTGAACGTTACGGCCAATCAATAATGAATCAATCAATAGACATATATACAACTGAGACTATGCGGTTTCTAGGAACGTTGAGTATCAAGTGATAATCCACATAAATCATTTAACTCTAAATGATCAATTATGTAAATGAATTGAAACTAGGGTTTAACATACAGTTGTACTCAGTTCTTCAGTGTCTTAAAATCTATCAAAATAGAGAGCTGTTCTAGAAAAACTGTAGAATGTTTTATTAATACGTAATAATAAATCTTATATAAAACAGTTTTGGGCAGTCCTATGGCAGACTACCCTGAAACTATAAAGCAGGTCAGAACTAATCACAACTGTGCTTGGGAGAATTCATCAGATGATTTTTAAATGTTTTACATATTCACAAGAAGCGATAAATGCTGTTATGTTTTATGATGTTGGTTGATCCCTCGTGTATCATCTGCCCCTCTTACACATGGTAAAGTTTATCTTAACACGTTTGGTGTGGATATGGTTCAAAACTACAATTTTTAAGGGCATTGACACATTTTGTGCATTTGAATGAACCTTTAAGAAGTACATCCTTTCTAAAACACAATAATGCCTCATGATCACAATAACTGCATATAGGCTTAATTTATCAAAGTTATCTGCATATAAGCTTAAGATGCTTTAACTGATGCTATTAAATCTTGCCATTCTTCGCTCTAATTTTGTGGCTGAACGTCAAAGTAGGTTTTCTGCCGCAACCGTTTTAACAGGACAGACAGACACTATCTTTTTGCAGTTTTCATTATGAATTCGGTATAATGGAGTTATAACTATATCTGCCAATGACGATGCGACACGTGCTAAAGTAGATATTCTACAAACAAGCAGCGACAACTCAGCTGGCTTCAGTACAACAGTACAAATTAAACAGAAAGCTTGTATGGACAAAGAGGTAAATGATAATTACGATTAGCAATGAGAAAGTAATGGTTAGAAATCACGTAAATTGAAGCTCTAAGTTTCCTAACAAAACTTTTTTATTATACATTTTTATTACACATTTTTGGTTCATTTGTGCAAATTGTCTGTACCAATATACAGAGTACTTTAATGATGTGTGTGTACTATTTATCAATTGTGATAGAATTCTGCATTTTAATGGTAGAATGTGTTTGAATATAAAATTGTATTCGTACTTTTACTCAAATGTGTGTGTGCGTAAAGAATGTAGGATTTGACCATTTCATACTGTTTTCGAAGGATGTCTTGCACTTGGTTGACAATACAACTGGTTGGCTGTTATTCCCCCAAAGTAACGTCAGCTCTGCATTCAGTACTTAACTAATGATGATAAATTTATGATTAATAACATATGTTTCAATAGCAGTAGTAATCAATTGTGATTTTAGCATTTTATTTGTACAAAGATAAAACAGTGATTGATGTAACGGCAGATAGGATATTACAAGTATAATCGATGAAAATTGCAAAAAATAAAAGACTGGGTAAATTACAATCACCAGTATGTCGTACAAACATATTAACCAATAAGAATTGAGAACAAGAAGTCCGTTATAAAACATTTTGTGTTTGTCACAATATTTTGTAGCATCATTTGAAAATTATTAGTTTATTAAAGATAATACTTGGATGCAGTTTATTATGCTTAATGATATCATAGCAGAATTAAACTCCTGCTGAAAGCAAAGTAAACTAGAAAGACATTTTTAAACAGATTGTCTTAACCGTTTCACATACTTGAAGTATGGAAGTTCTTTTATTGTACTTCACTACGCTTATATCAACCCCCTCAGTCACTATTTAATTTTCGTATCCCGGCTTTCAAACAGGAAAGGAACATATCAACGATGTCACAATGTGTGTAAAAAGTTTTGAGCGACGTCATAATGTGTGAAAAAAATTAACAGGCTTACTTATGTCAAGTTTAAAAATGTCTATTGAAGGGGAAAAGGAACAGAAGTAGCGCGATAAAGAGATTATCCGATTTTTATATATTGATATCGTCAAATATTAGCCGCTTCATCAACACAATTAGAATGTTTTTTGTTCGTTTGTTGTGCTCACTCGTCACATTGCCGATAACAGCTGATACTTACTATATCAATGCGCATCAAATCCGATAATCTTTACGTTTTAAGCCTAAATTAAATATCCGATAACAAGCTAAATTAAAACATTCTATAAAACTTAATGACAAATCATTTTAGATTTAATTTAATCTTGGGCAACTACTTGTTTCTCATACATTCCTAACTGGTCAGAAAACAACTCTGCACATTTTCATGGAAGGGTAGACGCGTTTGGCACGATGCAAAATTTTAACATTTTC